AGAGGAAATAGAACTTGAAGAGATCCTGTAGGCAACTTGCGCTACTTTTATGCTTGATTATTTCCTTCTAACAAATTCCGTGAAAACAAGGATGATACATATTCTACTAACTTACCAAGTGCTGATTGTAACTGTTGTTGTATAAACATTCCAACGCTGGAAGATGCAGCATGAAGGCCATTTTCCATCGCAGTTATCGGATCAGTTAGCACGGCTCTAACAACACGGCGCGCCATTGTCCGCACCCAAGGCTTTTCATGAGCGCTCAGAGCTGCAACAGACACCACCATGTTCCTAAAAAATGTTTTTGATTTGACCCTATTATGAGCACGCGTTATCAATCCTTCTTAAGAAACGAATATAACTCACTTGGTGTTGGCGACATTCCAAACCCCAGCAGGTTGGGCACGTAAGACAACTCCCAGAACCGATAGCAGGTACTTGAGTGCAGATCCTTCGTTGCTCTCAGAATTCTCGAGCATTTTGGTATACAGTACCTATAATTCAAAAATTCTAAACAACATGGAAAAAGTGAAAGCTGGTTACGGTAAAATTACCTGAACCACTTTTGTGAACTGTGACTGAAGGACTTCCTTGGGAACTTTTTTGACAATTAATTGCAGAAGAAATGCTACAGCAGCAGTTCTTGATGGTTCATTTATAGGAGAGCCCTCGAGGGTTGTTATTAGAGCTGCGAAATATTCAACATCCGTCTCCGAACCTAAAATGCCATCACATAGTTACATTGACAAACACTACCACCACAAGCATTTCAGAACAAAAAAAAGCAGAACAAAAGATGATAGAGTAAAAATAAGCGATGGAGAATGGAGAACCGAGGAAGGAGCTCCGACTGTAAACCCAGAGACAGCAGAGATGGACGGAGCGCAGCAATCACAAAAACAAGCTTGCACAAACTGTACATGATTTTTATCTACAGTAATCAAAGAACGATACGACAAAATTAATGATAGAGCAAAAACAAGACAGTCATGCAGGCATCAATACCTACCGTTGCGCTCTTTAATTAATTCTGCCACTGCAGCCAAAACCGAGACAACCTCTTTTTGCATAGAGGATCCAGACCTGAACAAGTAGTTCTTGTTGGTCTCGCTCGATTTGGCACATCAGTTAACAAAACAAATAGAAGGAACAAAATTCATGTCTACTCACTTCCAGAACCGATGTACTGCGTCGAAATTGGGATTGGTGCAAGAGGTGAACTGAGATATTCCGAATAACTTCGTATAGCATACATTATACGAAGAACAGCTCCTTCAGAGACCATTCGCTTGTTGTTCGAAAGCACTTCCGTTGCTGTCGAGTCGTCATTCCCGCCCCTGTATATGGGGTTAAGGATAAATAAAGGGTTAGAACAATAAAAGCTTTTACCGTGGTAACTTACTCTTACACCTACTCCCGCTGTAAATTACTTGTCTGTTCAGAATATACCATGAGCAAGAAGTCAACGTCAGGTCCGTCCCCCTCTCCCCAATAAGTAGTAATGACGAATTCATAGTCATAACGAACGAACGAACTCGCACTGTTTCCTGGGGCTGGGTGCAGGTCAGACCCAACTAGGAAATCGGCAGGCATCCCTTTATCCCCGAACGTTGGATATGTCCCAACGTCGGGGATATATTCCCAACGTCACATGTCGATGAGGTGGATGGGACCCATCCCTAGTTGGGCTTGCTGCACCCGGCCCTGCTTCGGTGCTTCTTTTGCATCGACTTTCATACGATGACCCGTGGTCATCTTGGAAACCACTTATCCCCTGTCTTGTTATCACCACTTAGCTCAGTGCGTGGTCTACACCAAGTCCGGCTGTTTCTCAAGGTGGGTCCAAGTGTTTTGTGATATGTGATGTCTTCCTAGAGAAGATGGGTCTATTAGAGTTTTCTTGAAGTTTTAGCTTGAAGGGAGTACCGCACTCATCTCTGGCTTTCCAGGCGAGAATTAAAGGTGTTACTGATATTCTTGTGATGCTCGGAGGTTGCAACAATATACATAACCACAACCTAACTTCAAATGTGCACCAAGATTTGTTATGTGATAATCAATAGTGGAATCGACTACGAGTTCTGTGTTAAAAGAAGGTAGCCTCTCGCGGGTACTTCGGTTAGGGGCGTCGGCGTCTGCGGCTTCGGGGGGTCGATCGTCGACAGCAATCATAGGCCCAGTAGATAGAGATCCAACTCGAGCTGATGCCGCTGCTTCACGATGACGTTTCTTTACGGGATTACTCTCGGAGCTGGAACGTTACAGACTTGAATTGAAGAACATGTGATGACTATAAGCAAGAAATGAGAACTGGCAGTACCTAAACCCTTTCCGAATGCGACTTTTTGCTTTACCATGGATGCGATGTCGGAACTTCCCGACCATAATGGCTTTCTGAAACTAATTCAAAGAATAGTTGCTAACTCAAATCGTACGTGGTACCTTTTAAGACCAGTCAATTAAAGTAAACCCAAATAACGAAATGCACAAAAAGAGAAAAGGACACTGAAACGGAGCGAATGATGCAAAAATCCGACCCTCTGCCCAAATCCTAAAATCAAAACGGGAAAACTCGTCCGAAACGACTGCGAAATGGTTTTCTCAATCAAATCACAGCTTAAATTACGTTCTTATAAGCGAGCCCATAAGAAGCACGGACTGCAAATGAATAGGTGATTAATGATCAGCATAAACGTGGACAAAAATAGCAATAGATCATGCAATACTGCTGCCTGGACGAGTTTTCGCGTGCGAATCGCTGCAAGAGCCCGGAATTTCTACAGTACGCCGACGTTCGTTTTCTCGAACGGGATTTTACGTTTTGTGGGGAAAAATTATGCTTGAAAGTGCTACAGTTGCTTTTTATCGATGGAAATTGATTGCAGGACACTTCAAGTGGCATTTTGGGAACTGAAACGATTGGTGCAGCCTGCCCGGTAAGCAAAGTGGTCCGAGTTCGATTCCCGTTTTCGAGTGGAACAAAGTGTTTCGGCGATAATGAGCACCAATATGACCAAAGTGTTTTGGCCATAATGAGCACCCATATGACAATCTTCGCATCGCCAACTGTGACAGAAAACAGCCTATAACAAAAAGATCAGATTCAGATCGAACTGCGATA